GCCGAAGACAAGCTCCGAGCTCTGCGTATTTAGCGGCGTGTGCGAACGATGTGCCGAGAAATGGTCGTGTGACCACAAGTGCTCATCCAAAATCCAATTACATGCAATGCTGGAGGTATATGGGACCTTTTCGCTCTGACTGATGTTCCTACTTACACTGAATCTTGTGCCCCAGTGGAGGAACAACTTCTGCTGGCTCTTTGCGGTGGTCTGGGTGGCCCTCGCACTATGCAGTTCATTGGTGTGGCATTCATGGCCTTCCCATCTGTATTTTGGTCGACTCTGGCAGTACCACTTCTTTTATGAGTCAGCGTGTGGTGGATCAGCTACCCCGCTTACAGTTACAGCCGACTCATCATCAAGTGCATATAGCCAACGGTGGTCTGATGGTTTGTTCAGCAATGGTGCCAGACTGCAGTTGGTCGATGGCGTCCTATTATTTTCAGCATCCTGTCAAGGACCATCCCCTCAAGTGTTATGACCTCATTCTTGGTATGGACTGGCTTATCCGCTTTAGTCCCATTAAAGTGGATTGGCAGCAGTAATGGATGCAAATTCCTTTCGGCAAAACTACAGCCATGCTCCACAGCCACGACACAACTCCAGCCAATATGGTCTTTCAGTTATTGTCAGTTCAGGAACAGTCTGCTCCTGCCTCTGAAATTCAGACACTGCGAGCTGAGATTCAAGCCATCCACAAGGACTTTGCTACTGTTTGCTCACCACCACAGCAGTTACAACCGCTAGTGCGCTCATGTGACCACCGCATCCCACTAATTTCAGGGGCGAGACCGATGAACACTCAAAGATGAGATTGAGCCCCAGGTCGTTACACGGATGGTCCAGCAGGGCTTGATTCAACAAAGTTCCTCACCCTTGATCTCACCGGTTCTGCTCGTTAAAAAGAAGGATGGTACATGGCGCTTGTGCGTCAATTACCGCAACCTCAATGATCTCACTGTCAAGGGGTACTTTTCCATTTCCAGTATTCGATCAACTAATGGATGAGTTGGCAAACGCAAAATGGTTCTTGATACTGGATCTCTTTGCTGGTTATCACAAAGGCAGGCTCCACGCGGGTGAAGAACCGAAGACGCCCTTGTCTACTCACTCAGGCCATGGTGCCGAACCCTACGGTTCAAATTCAAAAATAGGTCCCTTAAGGGTGTAAATGTATTTCGAAAAAGAGTTTAAAAAAAACAAAAGTCAGAACACTAACGCTGCAGCCGCTCTAAGGGGTTGTTTCATTGTTTGGATCTAGCATTTTATGAGAACTAGTTTCCGTAGAACCAGCTTTACTGTAACTACCCACAAAACTGTGTTTGGATCTTCCAACAAACTCCCGTATAAGATAAATTCATTTTCCATTAACCAACTCAAAACTGGTTTATCTAAAAACCTCTTTAAAACTCATTTAGCTAAAACATATTTATACGTTAGAGATCCAAACAAGTAAACAACCACTAAGTGTGCTAGTTGGGCCACGTTTGGAGTACATTAGGTTCGGAAATGACTTTGTATTATAGTTGATATCGTATATACACGTATCTATGTGTTTATGGGTTAGGATAGTGTTGAACTATAGCCATACCTACGAACTAAATGGATATAACGACACTGAACGTCACCCGCGCCGCGCATTCGTGGGGACCGCTCGCACCCCCACACACTTCATCCCATATGAAACACCTGAGCTATTTTTAAAACAGCCAGATGCAACACTTGCAACATATAAAAAAGACACATGAAACACTTGAAACATGCGTCTGAAACACTTGCAAAAACACTTCGCAACATCCAGATAAAACACTTGCAACACATGTGTGAAACATATGCAACATCCAAATAAACAAAATACAGCATACATCTAAAAACAGATGAAACATTGAGGACAGACGTTTGCAACATATGCAACATCCCGATATAGCTTTGCAACATCCGTATGAAACAATTGCAATATGCCTCTAAAACATCTGAAACATTTGAAATGTGTGTTTGCAACATGCATCATATCCTGGTGCGGCATCCTCATTTATCGCATCGGAGGCGCGCAGCACCAGCGAGCAGAAGCGAGGCGGAGGGCTTCCGCGCCGGGGGAGGGCTTCCGCGCCAGGGCCCGATGCTTCTCCTTGCGCTTAGCGATGTCGGCGTCGTCCGAGTGGTGCGGCAGAAGAGGAGCAGCGGACGGGCGAACAGCGAGCAACGACAGGTGCAAAGAAGGCTTAACGCGGAGCAAAGGATGTGAGCAGCAGCGCGAGCAGAGTGTGAGAGCAACGACGGCGGAGCAAGAGCAAAGCGGGCAAAGCGGTTAGAGCATCGAAATGGACATGAGGCGCGGAGTATAGCGGGATGGGGTCGGGTACGACGCCTCCTGTCGGTGTTTTAAGTTGCCATCAACTAGTAAATTTTTAATATTGCGCGTCTGGCTCGGATGGTGTGCTAAGAGGACACGAGGTTTATACTGGTTCAGGTAAAATGTCTCTACGTCTAGTTCATTGTTGTTACTCGTGTTACTAGTACTGAAAGTTTGTAGTAGGGGTTACAAACGGTCGAGAGAGATAGTTCCCAAGTCTCTGGTCGTGAGAGGAGCGAACGGGTGCCGAGAGCTCGGTTGCTTCCCGGCTGTATGCTTAGGTGTTCTGATCGGTTTGGGGTTCGATGGGTTCCAGTCCAAATCGATGCGATGTGTTGCAATGCCTCTTATGGGACGCCCTGCATTCCCTTTTATAAGTCAAGGAAAAGCACGGGTTACAGTGAAGGAAAAGAGGAGAATGAGAAGAAGAAGAAGTCCTCTAGGATCATCGGGTCCTTCTTTTCCTTCACGCGAGTCCCACCGACCCTGTAGACTTCAACAGGGACAGCTCCATGTCATGGCCCTGTCCGTCACTGGCGCCATGCGCAGGCGTCGTCTCCTGGCCGTGGCGCTCCACTCTATCCCGGCAGACGTCGTGGTGAACTGATGCGCCTGTCAGTCCTCGTACAAGGGTTAGGCAGAACAACACCGGTATGCCCGACGTTGTTCCAGATGTGAATCCCCACGTATGGCCCGTCACGACCACGGGTTATATCGGGCCGTGCCGATCACCTCCCTGGTGTCAGAGCTTTGATCTAGGCCCATTCGCTTGGACCTGGAGTGGTTGGCGGCTGTATGGGTCTCCGTCGGGCGAGACGGATCCCTCGGCCTCGAGGTCGATCGAGGCGGAGTCCCCCTAGAGGCCGGGCGAGGCGGAGCCAGTCCTCAGAGGTCGGGCAAGGCGGAGCCCGCGGCCTCGGTGTCGGGCGACGAGGAGCCCGCCCTCAGAGGTCGGGCGAGGCGAAGCCCGCGCCCTCAGTGTCGGGCGAGGCGGAGCCCGCCCTCAGAGGTTGGGCGTGGCGGAGCCAGCCCTCAGAGGTCGGGCGAGGAGGAGCCCGTGGCCTCGGTGTCGGCCGATGCGGAGCCGGCCCTCAGAGGTCGGGCGATGCGGAGCCGGCCCTCAGAGGTCGGGCGAGGCGGAGCCCGCCCTCAGAGATCGGGCGATGCGGAGCGCAAACCGAAGGGTCGGGCGAGGCGGAGCCCGCCCCCCAGAGGCTGGGCGAGGTGGAGCCAGACCTCAGAGGTCGGGCGAGGCGGAGCCCGCGGCCTCGTTGTCGGGCGAGGCGGAGCCCATCCTCAGAGGTCGGGCGAGGCGGAGCCAGCCCTCAGAGGTCGGGCGAGGCGGAGCCGGCGGCCTCGGTGCCGGGCGAGGCAGAGCCAACCCTCAGAGGTCGAGCGAGGCGGAGCCCGCCCCCAGAGGCCGGGCGAGGCGAAGCTTGCGCACCTGGGGGTCAGTTGGAGCTGTAGTCGCACTCTTGACTGCTCGGATGAATCAATGTTGATGGTTATTAGCTCCTTCGCTTCGGGTACCCTAGTATTGGTCCCCGACACCTCCACGCTGGAGAAGGCCGCGGCGAGCGGACCCCGCAATGAAGGCTCCTGCGGCGGTCGCACGCATGTGGCATGATGGAGGAGCTCGCGGTGGTTACATGCGTGCAGCGGTGGGGAAATAAAATGTCGCTGGCCTTTTTTCTTTTTGGAGAAATATGCTGGTGGTGGAGCCGAGTAGGCCTATTGGTCCGATCGCCGCACAGGCCCACGAACAGGGCGTGCGGACAGATGCGCTAGGACGGACATCCTCACTAGAGCATTATCGAAGATATATATTTTTTTCTATTAATTAATAGACATATAGGTAAAGGTAAGTAAATTAAACCATTTCATATCCTAATGAGGAAAAAATCCATCTCGTTTTGGATCACAGGTACCCATTGCCATCTCTTATTCTCTTAGTCCCACGGCGCCGGGCCGCGGCGCGCAGCTAACGCGGGAGATGGGAGCCGGCCGGCCGCTGCCGTCCTCGTTCGCATCGCAGAAATGAGATCGCACGAGGCCTGAGGTGTGTTGAGCGGCTGCCCCCGGCCCGCCGAGCTCCTTGCACCTAACGCCACAGGTGGTATTTACTAGCCTGCCTTTCAAGTCTCAACTAACCCGCTTGATTTCAGCGCGCGCGCGCGCGTGTCGCTGAGCAGCAACCTCCCCGGATGAAGGCGACAGGGAAAAGCGCCGCCTGCACGCGCACGATGCCAACGCACGCTCTCCGTCGCGTTCACGATCATTCGCATCGCATGTTTAATCTGGCTGCGCTATACGTGTTCACATCGGGATCATGTTGGCACGCACGTTTTACTCGTGCGTCACATGTGTCCACTCGTGAGCTCGTGTGGTACACAGTATATATAGGGCGTGCCAAGCATCCAGTCTAGCTGCACCACCATAAGCACCAACGGAAAACCAGTGTTGGCTGCAGCGCCGCAGGCAGTAGATCGAGCCTTCTGTCCCCGGTCCGGCGGCCCCCTGTCGCAACTTGCAAGTACGTGCTGCCGATCGACTACTCTTGCGGCCGGACTCGGTTGTGCGCCATGGCTCTGGACGCGAGGTCCCTTCCGGTAGTGTCCGCCCCCGCCCTCGAAGTCTGCTCGGGGGGATGCCGAGAACCAGGAACGGTGGCGGCGTTTCGTCCGCGACGGCCGGCGCGGCGGAGGTGTCCGTCGTCGTGGACGTGCCGGCGCTGTGGAGCGACGAGGGAAGGATGAAGCGGGAGCTGGTCGTGTGGGCCAAGGCTGTGTCGTCCATGGCCATCAGGGAAACGATGATGCAGTGCTGACTGCTGAAGACCTGAAGTGCTGATTAAGGCGGATCGGAACTTCCTTCATGCATAGAGCCCTGAGGATGCCACATCTCTTTGTTTTTTTTTTCCCTGGTGCTGCTGGGTCCTTTCTTTGCTGAGCAAACCAATTCACGCGACGAAGCATGGCGGCGGCGGCGGCTTTGTACATGTTCGGTTGATCATTTGGGCTTGTACATACATGTTCTTTTTGGAAAGGATGCAAGAGAGAGCTTCAGATGTTTTGTCGCACGGAATATATATTTTGGATGTGTCCTGCGTTTTGTTTTCGCTCAAATTGTCACGCTGGGTTGAATTGACAGTGCGTCTGCGGAAAGATCAAATCTGGAGTTGAGCTGCTGGTTTCTGTACGCAGACTGTACGCTGCATGCGCGCGACCGATCGTTGACACTGATCGCTCGACTCGCTCGTTAGCGACTCGGCTCAGTTTGAATTTTTAAACAATCTGAGCCAGAACTTTAGCTCGATTAATTAACAAGACAGCTCGATCCAGCCGCAAGCTGCTCGTGAGCCAAAACGAGTCAAGGTAAATCAGATGACAACAACTTTAATCAGCCCATATATGCCATGGCCCATTGACCCAATATGATAAAACTCTAGCCCCCAACTCCCACGCTCCCACCCCTAGACCCTAAACTTTCCCCATCCGCCGTTCCGTACAGGCATAGCCGTAAATGCATGCACGTTAGGCGGTTCCCCTCTTGAGCCGCAGCACGCGGCACATGCTTAAGTCTTTCGGCGCCTACTGTTCGCTAGGGCCTTGCAATCGTAGCTTTGCTTACTCTGTTGCAAGCCAACGCATAGCAACAAGCATTAGCTTTTGTTTTTTTTTCTTAATTTTCCCAAACCAGCATCAAATCATCTGTCTTCTTATTTATTTTGTTTTTCCAAAATTAGTACTCGTCTCTGTCTTTTGCTAGATGAATAACCTCAACATGAAGAAAAAAATTTAAGTTAGCTCGCGAGGCAAACGAGCCAGCTCGAGCTGCCAAGCGAGCCGAGCCGAGCTGAGCTTATAGCTCGTTAGTATAACAAGCCAAGCCGAGATAATGAGCCGAGCCATAACGAGCCGAGCTATAACGAGCTGCACTGGCTCGATATCTAGCCCTAGTTGAAGCAAGTGCCCGGCAGAGGGCAGAGGCAGCACACTGCTCACTGTTATGCATCATCAGCACTTGTATTTTAGTGTGCCTTTTTTTTCCACAGAATTGGCTAGCTTGTATCATATTGACGAGAGCTGGCTTGAGTTCAAATGAGTCGTTACAACCAAATACGTCGTCATTGTAATGTTTGGACTATAGATGTACCAATTTGACAAGTTGTTGCACCATGTTGATGAGAGTTGGCTTGAGTTCAAATGAGTCGTTGTTACAACCAAATACGTCTTTTTCAAATGAGTTCAAATGTGCACATTCACTATCAAAGGAGTCGCTCAAGATGCCGTGTTACTTCGCCTCTTCCCATTCTCCCTCTTGGGGACGTCATCCTTGTCACGTTTGGACTATAGATACACCAATTTGACAAGTCGTTGCACAATTATGCATCTTATAAGTTGCTGGACTAATATGCACACACTTGCTAAGTTCTCACACTAAATTGAGTATTCTATAAGTTATTTGGACCAATCTGCACCCGTCTTTCTAAGTTATTCATGATTTATATTCTCAATGTTTAATTCAAGTTTTGTTCAAAACGACTTTATTTTTTAAGTAAGAAGAGAGTAACCTCTCTGAAAGTAGACACGGTAGTATATTTCAGCTTGTCTTATAGCGGAGCCACATTCGCAGATGTTTAGGTGGATGAGAGAGAAAACAGAAGAGGAAAGCTGATTGTCGCAAGATTTGGCGCCGAGCGCTAGCGCTGTTCCCGAGTTTTGTGGGGCCCGCCACCACTTCCCGTGACCCGTCCTCGAGAACGAATGACAGCCGCGCGCAGGCCTTAGGCTCGCTGGCCGTCGTTGTCCGCGACATGCTCGTCGCTTGCCCGCCACTAGCCAGCTTCGCGCCGCCGTCGGCCGCCCACAGGGTCGGCTTCGCGCCGCCGGCAGGCCGCCGCTTGCAGGTTCTGCGCGCCGGCTACCTCCATCTGCGCGACTCGCTGTGCCTCTGGCGGCTGCTGGCTGCTGCCCCGGCCGCCGACGCCGCGCGACCGTGTGCGAGCCAAGACAGGCATAGCAAGGAGAAGGGGCCAGGGCATACGAGCTCGTGACCATGGCTGCCATCGAGCTCGGTACCCGAGAGCGAGCGGGCGATGTGCTCGTCGGTTCTTGGGCAAGTGGGCGGTGGCCTCCAGCCAATGGTGAGCTTGCTCGACGTGTTCATCCACCAGGAACAGAAGCTAAGAAGAAATAGTGACGTGTATGGCCCACTTAATAAAAGAAGGAATATTCTAACTGTAAGAGGAGATAAATTGTTATAATTTGTCTGCAAAGCTTGTCTCTAAATGATATGGCTTAGCTTAAAGCCAAGCTTATTGAACCTGTTCTTAGAGTTTGGTGGTTATATCCTAACTCCATTTTGGTCGAATGCACGATATCAATAGAAAGAATATCTGCAGCCTGTTCGCTTGGTCGTATTTGGCTTATAAGCCATGGCTTATCAGTCAACGAACAATATTTTCTCTTACACTAAACCAGCCAACAATATTTTTAGCCGTGGCTTATAAGCCAAACAAGCCCAAACTAACATGACGCTGGAGCTTCCAATAAGAGAGAAAGCCAGAATATCTGGAGCTTCCAATCAAAGAGAAAGCCCTGCACCTGCAGGCAGTTGGTAGCTCTATAAATACCAGCTTCCATTGTACATCACTGGTGCCTCATCTCACAAGTATAGTATACACAATCGTCACAACAAGTTGAAGCTAGCAGTTGCGCTGTTGCACATCACTGCACAGCAGGCGCGCAGATCGACATGGGCTCCATCGCTGCTGACGCCGATCGCCGGCCGCACGCCGTGTGCGTGCCGTTCCCAGCTCAGGGCCACGTCACGCCGATGCTGAAGCTGGCCAAGATCCTCCACAGCCGGGGCTTCCACATCACCTTCGTCAACACGGAGTTCAACCACCACCGCTTGCTCCGCTCCCGCGGCGCCGGCGCGCTCGACGGCCTCCCGGACCTCCGCTTCGCCGCCATCCCGGAGGGCCTGCCCCCGTCCGACGCCGACGCCACTCAGGACGTGCCGTCGCTCTGCCGCGCCACCATGGAGAACTGCCTCCCGCATTTCAGGAGCTTCCTCGCCGAGCTCAACTCCTCCCCGGACGTGCCGCCGGTCACTTGCGTCGTCGGAGACGACGTCATGAGCTTCACTCTGGAAGCAGCCCGAGAGATCGACGTGCCGTGCGCGCTCTTCTGGACGGCCAGCGTCTGCGGCTACATGGGCTACCGCTATTACCGCGACCTCATGGAGAAGGGCATCTTCCCGCTCAAAGGTTAGCCCCCCGCCTGCACGAAGCACGATGGGTCGGTAGGGTACTGTAGCATGCAGCTGCTCACGTTTTCTAACCATGATCGATGCAGACGCCGAGCAGTTGACGAACGGGTTCTTGGACACGCCGGCGGACTGGGCGCCGGGGATGGGCAAGCACTTCCGGCTCAAGGACTTCCCAAGCTTCATGCGCTCGACGGACCCCGACGAGTTCCTGTTCCACTTCGTCCTTAAGGTGACGGAGCAGATAGCCGGCGCGGACGCCGTTATCCTCAACACCTTCGACAAGCTCGAGCAGGAGGCGCTCGACGCCATGCGCGCCATGATCCCGTCGTCCGCGTCCATCCACACCATTGGCCCGCTCGCCTTCCTCGCAGAGGAGATAGTACCCCGGGAAGACCCGGCCGATGCGTTTGGCTCCAACCTCTGGAAGGAGGACGTCTCCTGCTTCGACTGGCTCCACGGCAGGGCGCCCAGGTCGGTGGCACAACTGGATTCAGGTTCTTTGCCGAGTGCCTGAGGCACTCGGCAAAGGCCTAATTGCACTCGGCAAAGCCTTTTGCCGAAAAGCGGCACTCGGCAAAGAACACACGGCAAAAAATTAATCGGCAAAGACCTCTTTGCCGAGTGTCTTTTATCGGGCACTCGGCAAAGGCTTTGCCGAGATTCCCGGTGGCACTCGGCAAAGAAAAGCAACCGTGACGGCGCCGAATCCGTCGACGGGATTTTTTGCAGTGAAAGTGCCAACCCCGCAGCACTCGGCAAAGATTTTTTATTTTAAAAAAAAAATTCTTTGAAAGAGTGCCCAACGGCCGGCGCCGCAAAGTTTGATTTTTTTAAATTCTTTGCCGAGTGCCCTCTAGCCGGCTCGGCAAAGTTTCAATTTTTTTAAAAAATTCTTTTGCCGAGTGCCCTCCGCCGCACTCGGCAAAGTTTGATTTTTTTAAAAAATTCTTTGCCGAGTGCCTTCTTACTACACAAGCAATGCAAAGTTTCAATTTTTTTTAAAAAATTTCTTTGCCGAAAGTGCCCTCTGGCCGCACTCGGCAAAGTTTGAATTTTTTTTTAAAAAAAAAATCTGAAGCTCCCATGTTGCTCGCTTTACTCCTTGCTTTAACCTGCAAATGAACCAAACAGCACAAAAGAAAATAAGTAGCCAATAATGAACTAAAAGAAAATAAGTACCAAGTAATGAGCTTAAATAGATCTAACAATACCTAGGCTAACAAAAGCTCTAATTAGCATTTGAAAATCCACTAAGCTCCAAAACTATAAACTGCTAGCTCTTGAAACCAAACTGCAAGTACATGCAAAGCCATTTCAACTATTTCGTTCTGCCTTCACTGAAAAGCATGTACTGAAACTGAGGTAATTTTGCAATTACAGAGACAAGCTAACTACCGACACAACCTGAGAAGTGAGAAGCACAAGAACTGATGGACCAACACAACCTGAGAAGCACAAGAACTGATGGACTTGCACCTGTCCTCACCGAGTTCCAAAACCCAAATCCAAGCAAATGAAATAAAATAAGTTTCTGAACAGGCCATTTGACATTGCTAACAACCTTGCAAGTGAATCATACATATTCGAATCAGATTGTTATATGGCAATAAAATAAGTTTAAATTTACCAAATGCAAGCAGTCAGTTCTTACTACTGACTTTATAGTTTACATCCTATCAATAACGTCTACTTTCAATGCAATTCAAAGGCAAGGATAATGCTTGTTTAGGTCACAGTTTGAGGAGATATCAGTCAAGATTTGTTGTCTTTGCAAACCTTGAAGGATTTTATAAAATGTACTCAGATCATGAAATCTATTCTTTATAGTATTCAAGATGTAGCTAGCGACATTTCCTCATTTACAAATGTGATGAAATTGATTATTTGGTACTCAACCAAAGTCTACACCCATTGAAAATATTATTTAAGATAATTGTCATGATCATACCAAAATACAGAAAAAAAAATTCAAATCTGAATCCATAGAAAGACAAGGCAAGTTGTTGACCCAATATCATTTGAGAAATAACATTTAGTCTGATAATTGCTGGAACTAGTAATACCTGGACAAGAGAACTTACAAATTATAGCATAGCTATTGCTGATTGTTGTTGCTGAAAAGAAAAGAAAAGAGCAAAGCACTAAGCTTCTAAATCAAATAGAACAGAAAATAAAAATAAAAAGCATTCCCTACATGCAGAGTTATTTATGCAGAGTTATTTAGACAGGTATGCTAAATAAGAGAATGAGCAGCAGGCCATATTGCACATATGGTTAGGAAGTGCTTTTTACTAGCATAAGAGACGTATGCACCATTGGAACAAACATGACATTTCAATTTTGGTACAAACAATAATACTGCTTTAGTAAAAGTTTTTTAAATTGCGTAAAGTTTCAATAAGCAGTAAGACTTAAATACATGTTTCGCTTATGATAACATGCTGATCTTGTGAGTATCCTGGGTGTTCCAGGTGAAGGCGATGAGTTTCGATGACTCCGCAGGACAAGCTAGCATTCCCGGTGAAGATCTGTTCTTTGTGTGATGAATGACTTGATGAACTCACGAGGCAAGCATCGCACCAAGACACGAGGGCGTTGATAAATAGCAAATCTATGAGTGTGGTAGGAGTCTTGCCTGCCTTGACTCGTTTCCATTGTTGCTAACGGAAATGTTAAAGTTAAACAACTAGTACATTGAAGCGTGTAAGAACACTGTACCACAGCCAATCTATAGCGTCGAACAATGGTCGCTAAAACATAATATTAACGACCAACAATTGGTCGGTATACCACAACCAACATTGTAGAAATAGACAAACGATTTACCATGGTCAGGTAACAATGCTATCTTTGTGGTGTTTACTACAAATGTAAGCTATTCCCCAAACAAACATTGGATCTCGCACACATTAAGAATAATACCCGATATATGGTCATTGCTGCCAGCTCTATCACAAAGCATACTGAAGCCCACTGCATCACCAAATCTATAAATAACCAGAAAAAAATATGGATGAAATGCTAGCGGATTTTACGAACCATGTATCCAAATCATTTTTAATATTTAGTTTGCAACTCTGAACACCTACGAAACATCAAGTACATGAACAAAAGCTGTAATTAAGATAAGAACTTATTACGACATTGCTGTAGTGAACAGGTACAATATTTAATCCATTAGCAATCTCACCATAATAAATCTACTCTGTACATTTGCTTTCTCGATAATCTGAAAGAGGCTTCTCAAACCTTATTATTATTCTCTGGATTTTAATATATGCGATGGCATCTTGATGCGAGAAAAATACAAGCCATAGCTCTAGTCTTTTAAGCACAATTCTTTAAAATTATTGTGGCGGCAATAGTAGGAGAATCACCTGGATTTTAGGAGGACAAATGATTAAGGAGAATCACCAAATCGAAGATCCATAGAAATACAGTGCTAATTAGTTACAAACCGGTAATGGTAGCGTGGAGAGTATGTAGAACACACAGCAACAGTTCACCGAGATGAACATTGCAGAGCTCTTCCTTTTTTTTTGTAATGTTTTGGATGAAGTAAGGGGTTGCAGATACATTGTGGCTGATAGATAGAACATGAACATATATCTTGTTCAATTTGTGTAGATTGCTGAATATATATTCTAGCATGCTTATGCTCACTTAACTCTTTACCAATATGTGCTTCTAATTTGGTTCATGGTGGCACCACAATAGTAGATTAATAACAAGTACATAAGAAAACAGTTCCTGAACTTTGTACTTCGATCACGTGCTGATATCTATAATTGGAACTGATTTGTTAATTTACCCTACAAGTGATTTGGATAGCTACATGTATTAACCAGATACTTTCTTGCCTTTTTAGATCTATATATGATGAACATCATCAAAAACATATATCTTGGCTGATTAAGCCGGGTTAATCCCTAAATAAAATTCTAAAACATGCTTTTGGCCTGAATAATAAAAACAAAATGATGAGCTTGTATGCATCCCAACGACTTATAGTGGTTCGACATCATTAGCTGTTTGTGAATTGCGATTAGATGCGCTCGTTAGTGCATAGCAAGAGAAGCAGATCAGATCGATCGAGGCACGCAAGCAAAGATAGGCTAGTAGCATGATTAGATCGAAAAAAATAGAGGAGGTAAATCGACATGTACGTGCTCGGGTTTAGGGCGCGCGTGAAGGTCATCGTCTGTTCACTGACGAGGTCGCCGCAGGACTCCATGGCGCGCGCTCGAGGTCCCGCAGAAGCCGGCACTCCTTGCTGCTCTTGTCGGAGAGGTCGGCGCATGCGCGCCACGGCCTCCTTTTCCTCGACGCTCTCGACGCAGCGGCGGGAGCCGCCGGCGTTCATAACGGCTTCGGCCAGCAAGGAGAGGAAATGAATGACGAATCAATAGCGAACGGGAGGAGAGCAGAGAGAGTCCTTGTGACTCGTGTGTACCTTGAGGAGGTCGATGTGGCGATGGGCTGCTGGAGGTCCTCGAGCTGCTGGCTCCGGCGAGATGCGATCCGATGGTCGGGCGCGCGGTGGTGAGGCCAAAGGCAGACGGCGGGAGGAGGGGAGGGCGGCGCGGCTCGGGCGGGGCGGGGCGTGGCAGCATGGAGGAGGGAGGGGCGGCGTGGGGGGCGGGCGGGGCTGCGAGCGCGGATGGCTGGGTCATGGTCGTTCGAGGCTTGACCGCCCGGCCGCCGAAATCGCTAAGTGCCCCACTCGCGCTTTTTGCCGCGGCCGGATCGGGGAGGCACTTTCGGCAAAAGGAGGCAACTTTGCCGAGTGCTCCGATCCGGCCGTCGGTAAATTTTTTATTTTTTAATTTTGCCGAGTGCCTCTGTGAAGGCACTCGGCAAAGAAAAATTTCTATAAAAATAAAATCTCTTTGCCGAAAGTGTCTTATTTTTACACTCGGCGAGTTTCTTTTGCCGAAAGTGCCATTTTTTAAGACTCGGCAAATATTTTATTTTTTTTGTTTTTGGCCTCTAAGTTTTTTGTGCAGCCCTTTTAAAGGACCAGGAACTCCTCCTTAGAATTTGGGGACTTTTGTGGCTTTTTGATATATTTAGTTACTTTATTTCGTTTACTTGAATTTTTTTGAAAAATATAAATTTGAACTTTTTGATACGAATAATAGAATTTAATGATTCAAAAAATGATAGTCATATTCTTGAGTGTAGTGTGTGAGGCCGTATCTAGGATCGGATTGAAATTTCGGACATCTTGTTCATGAAATATGACCGCGAACTTGCGTGCGAAGTGTTTTTAAATTCTATAAAAACAAGCGAAGTCCGAAAATCATGAAACTCGTTGAGATGTCGTGATATCGTATGTGGAGGCTATGATAAAAATTTCAGAAGAAGATTTTGTTGCGTTGTCACGTATGATGCTTACAAACTAGGACATCTCCATATGTGATATCGGATCTTACATGTAGAGATGTCCGGTTTGTAAGCATCAGACGTGACAACGCACGTGTAAATCTTCTGAAATTTTTATCATAGCCTCCACATATGATATCACGACATCTCAACAAGTTTCATGATTTTCGGACTTCGCTTTTGCTTTTTATATTTTAAAACACTTCATCACCTTCAATTTCGCGGACATGTTTCGAGAACAAGATGTCCAAATTTCGGATCTGCTTCGGATACGACTCTCACAACACTCACTAACATGACTATCAATTTTTGAATCATTAAATTCTATTATTCGTATACGACGCAGTTCAAATTTCTATTTTTTGAAAAAATTCAAGTAAACAAAATAAAGTAACTAAATATATCAAAAACCACAAAATCCTCAAATTGTAACTAGGAGTTCTGGTGCTTTAAAAGGGCTGCACAAAAAAATTGGAGGCAAAAACAAAAAAAAAAAAACTTTGCCGAAAGTGCGGGCATGACACTCGAGAAGGGTATCTTTTGCCGAAAGTGCCGCATAAGGCACCGCTAAGAAAGAGGGTTTTAATTTTTTAAAAATTTCCTCTTTGCCAAGTGCATCCACAGTGTGTCGGCAAAGAAATTATAAAAAAATTAAATATTTGCCGAAAGTGTCGCGTTGGGCACTCGGCAAAGTATTTTTTTAAAAAAATTCTTTGCCGAAAGTGCGGATCAGGGCACTCGGCAAAGAATTTTTTTAAAAAATCAAATCTTTGCCGAAAGTGTCTCATCGCTCGACGCACTCGGCAAAGAAGGCCGTGACCGAACACCGCTTTCGGGGGCAGCCTATGCCGAGTGTAGAGATTTTCTCGAGAGTTCGACACTCGGCAAAGAAGTCCTTCGCCGAGTGCCCTTCTTGGAAAGTCGCACTCGGCAAAGAACTCTTTGCCGAGTGCAATTTCTCGCAGAGGTGCAGCACTCGGCAAAGAAGGTCTTTGCCGAGTGCCCGATTTTTGACACTCGGCAAAGAATTTTGCACTCGGCAAAGTCTCTGTTTCCAGTAGTGTGGTGTACGTGAACTACGGCAGCATCACGGTGATGACCAACGAAGAGCTGGTGGAATTCGCGTGGGGCCTGGCCAACAGCGGCCACGACTTCCTGTGGATCATCCGGCCGGACCTCGTCAACGGCGACGCCGCCGTGCTGCCGCCGGAGTTCCTGGAGGCCATCAAGGGCCGCGGCCACCTGGCGAGCTGGTGCCCGCAGGAGGTGGTGCTGAGGCACGAGGCGGTGGGCGTGTTCCTGACACACTCCGGGTGGAACTCGACCATGGAGAGCCTGTGCGCCGGAGTGCCCATGCTGTGCTGGCCCTTCTTCGCGGAGCAGCAGACCAACTGCCGGTACAAGTGCGTGGAGTGGGGCGTGGCCATGGAGATCGGCCACGACGTCCGGCGTGAGGTGGTGGAGGAGAAGATCCGCGAGGTGATGGGTGGGGAGAAGGGAAAGGAGATGCACCGCCGTGCGGTGGAGTGGCAGGAGACTGGTCTCCGCGCGACGTGGCCCGGAGGGCGCTCATACGCCAACCTCCACAAGCTGGTCGCCGACGTGCTCCTCTCGGGTGGCGGCAACAAGAGTTCTTAATAATCTCAGCAAGGTTTCTTCCTTCCACCACCGTCCAGTGTGTTTCGTGATTCGTTCTGAACATCGATGGAGTACTATCCTATATCGTCATTTGTTTTGTCGAGCGTGAATCTCGAGGCACGCAAATCCGTAAATCATGTAGAGCAGACGTGGATAATTCGCGAACGCATCAATCCGCAAATGAGCAAATAATTTTCCGACACGGCGTACCGAAGAAGTAATTTTCGCATGGCACCCTAATTGGATAGTGACAAGTGTGCCCGTTCTCTTTTCCCGTGCTGATGAACTGTTGCATGCGTCCACTCAATTTCAACAGTATGTTGGGGCCCACACAATTTTTTTTTAAATGTTATAATTTTGAACGGTGTATCTATTTTTAATTCCGTCTACACCGGTGTGTTCTACGTGACGAGACGAACAAAACTAGACCCCACTTATATATGTTTTAAAGATTTTTTTCTAGTAACAAACTAACTTATAACATGTAGCTTATCACATCTAACTTATAACCAAAACTATCCCAGCACTCGCGTTGCTGGATGTATAAGTGGAGAGAGTGCCTGGGAGATAAGGCAATTCTGAATTGAATGCTGAATACTCGAACTAATCTGTCCTCCTATCCGACTCTCTCCCTCGCATACTCTTCCAGTCTTCCTATCTTCTCCTCTCTTTTCCCTAATTCCTATCTGTTAACAACCTGGTATCACATACAAACGATCCATGATCGCGCTTGAGATCTCGTGATTCCATCGATCGCCTGACAAACACCATGGGTCTGATCGAGTTCCCGGCGAACAGTGAACTGCATGAACGCCGGTGATCTCCTGTAAATCCCCGGGACTGTCGGTCGATTTGTCGCGGATCTCCTCGATCTGGAGCATTCTCCACCACCACCACCATCCCCTCCCCACCAGCACTACACTCGCCATCTACGCCGAATGGGGGCCATGAGTCCCGAGTACCAGCAATTGGTGGCTGAGATGCAGCGGCTCTTCAAAGAGCAGAACGATCACCTTGATCGCCGCTTCGCTGACTCGGAGATCGCCTTCGAGGTTCGAGCGCCACGTCACCGACTCGGAACTCCGCCTCGACATGCGCATCGCCGAATCGGAGTGCCGCCACGACGACCGTCTGCAAGGGATCGAGAAGACCACCGGCGGACTCAAGTCCTGGCGCCATGACACCGAAGGCATGTCCGACGATTTGTGACTCGACGCGAGGTTGGCAAACTGACCAAACCTTGGGATCACACGGTGCGTGAGCAATCTTTGTCCGCGCCTAGCCTTCTTACGCCACCACCACCAGCTTCAGAGCAGGCCGTCCAGAGCCCACCTTCTGGCACCATGGCTGCTCGGCCAAATGGGCACAACGATGACAACATCCACTGAGAGAGTGAGTTTGGGGTTGTCACCACCCTGGCTCATTCCGCGGTCACGGGTATGGCCCCAAACCAACCTCCATCCAAATTGCATGGTACCGCTTATGATCTGTGTCTCGCTCGGAACAAGCCACCCGATCCTGCACATTGGTCCACGGCCGGCTAACCAAGCTTCATTTCCCTACTTTTGATAGCGACAACACCCGTTTATGGATTTCACGCGCAGAGAGCTATTTTGAGATGCATTGCACAGTTCCTGCCCTTTGGGTGAAGGTCTCCACCATGCACTTCAATTCACTGACACTGCTGCTCGTTGGGTCCAATCTGTGGAACACCAGCTGAAACGAGTTGATTGGCCATAGTTCTATCGGATGCTTCACGAGCGTTTTAGCCATGATCAACACCAGCTGTTGATTAGGCAGATGTTCCACATCAAGCAAGAGTCAACTGTTAAGGACTCTGTTGATCGCATCGCTGAGTTGATCGATCAATTAGCCCTCCTACCTACAATTCCAACAATGGCATGCTCTACTATACCACTCGCTTTGTTGATGGTTTACGCGAGGATATTCATGCTGTTATTGTTGTTCAACGCCCACAAAACTTGGATACGCACTTTGGCTCAATTGTAGGAAGAGGTGGTCGATTCGTCGCACAAGCACGAGGCCAAGCGTGCCCCCCATTCTATCCAAAATTGTCGTTCAAGCAGGCTCTGCCCTTCCTTTACCACCAGCAACTGACAAGGCGACCAAGGGAGTTGAGTCTTCTGCTCCATCGCTGCCCCCCAAAACTGCCGAAGACAAGCTCCGAGCTCTGCGTATTTAGCGGCGTGTGCGAACGATGTGCCGAGAAATGGTCGTGTGACCACAAGTGCTCATCCAAAATCCAATTACATGCAATGCTGGAGGTATATGGGACCTTTTCGCTCTGACTGATGTTCCTACTTACACTGAATCTTGTGCCCCAGTGGAGGAACAACTTCTGCTGGCACTTTGCGGTGGTCTGGGTGGCCCTCGCACTATGCAGTTCATTGGTGTGGCATTCATGGCCTTCCCATCTGTATTTTGGTCGACTCTGGCAGTACCACTTCTTTTATTAGTCAGCGTGTGGTGGATCAGCTACCCCGCTTACAGTTACAGCCGACTCATCATCAAGTGCATATAGCCAACGGTGGTCTGATGGTTTGTTCAGCAATGGTGCCAGACTGCAGTTGGTCGATGGCGTCCTATTATTTTCTGCATCCTGTCAAGGACCATCCCCTCAAGTGTTATGACCTCATTCTTGGTATGGACTGGCTTATCCGCTTTAGTCCCATTAAAGTGGATTGGCAGCAGTAATGGATGCAAATTCCTTTCGGCAAAACTACAGCCATGCTCCACAGCCACGACACCACAACTCCAGCCAATATGGTCTTTCAGTTATTGTCAGTTCAGGAACAGTCTGCTCCTGCCTCTGAAATTCAGACACTGCGAGCTGAGATTCAAGCCATCCACAAGGACTTTGCTACTGTTTGCTCACCACCACAGCAGTTACTACCGCTAGTGCGCTCATGTGACCACCGCATCCCACTAATTTCAGGGGCGAGACCGATGAACACTCAAAGATGAGATTGAGCCCCAGGTCGTCACACGGATGGTCCAGCAGGGCTTGATTCAACAAAGTTCCTCACCCTTGATCTCACCGGTTCTGCTTGTTAAAAAGAAGGATGGTACATGGCGCTTGTGCGTCAATTACCGCTACCTCAATGATCTCACTGTCAAGGGGTACTTTTCCATTTCCAGTATTCGATCAACTAATGGATGAGTTGGCAAACGCAAAATGGTTCTTGATACTGGATCTCTTTGCTGGTTATCACAAAGGCAGGCTCCACGCGGGTGAAGAACCGAAGACGCCCTTGTCTACTCACTCAGGCCATGGTGCCGAACCCCAACGGTTCAAATTCAAAAATAGGTCCCTTAAGGGTGTAAATGTATTTCGAAAAAGAGTTAAAAAAAAACAAAAGTCAGAACACTAACGCTGCAGCCGCTCTAAGGGGTTGTTTCATTGTTTGGATCTAGCATTTTATGAGAACTAGTTTCCGTAGAACCACCTTTACTGTAACTACCCACAAAACTGTGTTTGGATCTGTCGATGCGGGACCCACGGGATACCCCGTAAGGAAGGGAGAAGATCTAGTCTAACTAGGATTCTTCCCATGTAATCTTAGTAGTAGTATTATTTTATAATCCTACTAAGAACTCTCATTGTAAACCGACTAGGATTCTGACCTCATGACTATATAAAGGAGGGCAGGGTTCCTAGAGACGGGAGGATCACGACTTTTACGACTGTAACGACACAACACCAGACAATCAATACAACGCAAGGGCTAACGCCGACTGGACGTAGGGCTATTACTCGATCAGCGATCGAGGGTCCGAACCAGGATAAATCGACTGTCTCTTGCGTTCACCGTCGAGTTCCGTGATCTGGCTGAAGCCCGAACATATCGCCGGGGACCCCGTGGCAGGCTATCGGTGGTCAAACATCGACAGCTGGCGCGCCAGGTAGGGGCCTTCGACGAATTTGCATCCGAGAGCTCGATGGACCTCGACAACATGATCTTCTCGACGGGATCAAACTTCATCTTCGGCTCGTGGATCTGTGAGGCAGGCGACGATGGCAAGCTCCAAAGCCGTCTCTTCGAAGATTCGGTTCACCAGGAAGACTTTTCTATTTCGGCAACGAAGACAGATCAAATCACCGGAAGATTCGCGCGGCTCGTGATGTCCGATTCAACTCAGGTTTCGCGGCTTTGCGCATCCGACTCGAACTCAGGCTCCGCATCCGAGATGGAGTTTGACCCGAGTTCTTTCGAGAATCCGAGTTCTTTTCCAATGGGGCTTCAGAATGCGGCCTCGGCATATCAAGAATACAACTCGGAGAACACCTAGAGTCTTTTTCAAGAAGTCAGATCCTTTTTCGTTTGGACTCGACAAAATGGCAAAGTCTTATCAGGCACGGCTGGAAGGATCCCTCGATCCGGTGCTTAGAATGCCACTAAAAGGAGCTCAGGAAGGTCTCGTGCTAACTATAACATCTCAAGACTGCGTCGTCCACTGGCCAGGTTCTATTCCTGAGGATAGCGACACCCGACTAGTCGACACGACGACAACAGCAATTCTACCCTACCAAGAAGGAGACTCGATTTGCGACCTTGAAGCCTCTACTAAAGTTATCAGCAACTCCGACAATGTGGAAACCAACGCCGATAACAGAACAGTTCACGCATGGGAAGTACTCATGGTTCGTCGTCCTCAATCACCATTGATCCCCTAGAAGCACCCGACATCAGGTCATTGGATAAATCAGAATCCAACATATCACCCTTTGCCTAGGGCTACGATGGTGAGACCGAGAATCAGAGGCAAGCTAGAGAAAGAAAAAACATATTGAAACAAGGATGCCAACGCCGTGCTAGGTAGCGCAAGAAAGCTTGGATTAGATATGAGTCAGATCTGGTCGAGTACAATAGAAGAAAATCAGAGCAAGAAGTCGAAGAAAGACATGCAGCGAACACACCCTACAACAGGATCCGAGAAGCACTAGAACTCGGAACGACATCGCATCCCAGTGAACAGCA